AGGCCTCTCTATACCTGAAAGCACACACTCAACTCTGTAAAAAGAGAAGAAGAGAGAAGAAACTCAGAATGCTCCAAAAACCTAGAGAGGCCTTGTCTGCCGGTGACAGACAGGCACATCCAGATATTGGGCAGCGTAGCAGATGACACTGGCTTATCTTGAAAAGAGGCATCCACCTAAACCTCTGAATGGATCTGCCCTGCCTAAATCCCTGAAAGATGTGTACACAATCAAATGGCGTAACACAGGGGCATGCACAATGGTAAAGTCCATACTGCTGCTATTATTTGCCATACAATTTTGCAAATGCAGCTTAAGATGACAAGGGATGACGCACAAGGCAAAGTCTTGCACACTAATATCATCTTGCATATGACGTTTCAACAAATTTCCGACGATATTTTTGCTTGATCCCCGTCCACCATTTTATCATTAGTGAATTATTAAACGTGAACTTCTTTAAACTTACACATAATGAGTATACATGACTGTTCAAATCCGTTCTACTCACAGCTGCGCAACACACAACAAGAGCATCTGGTCCAACTAAGCACATGTGCACGGAGGTGACGCGTGATACTGCATTAACCATCTCAATCAAAAGTCGTGCCAGCAGTGCCACAACACGATATAACTGCTTTAGAAAAGTCTGCAGGAGCGCCTGTGCGTCAGTTGGCCACATTAAATAAACGCAGAGATGTGGAAAGTTTGGTGACAAACAGTCCTTACCTTCCTGTTCGGTGGGTGGACAGTGTCAACGGTGAGTCGGCTTTCGCTGGAGCAGCCCCGCGGAAATGTTTGGACACCGCGTGTTATCAGCAGAGGACAAAAGCAGCACTGTCGCTCCTGTTGTGAACCTGTTCAGAGTCAGAATCCAGCGAAAACAGTTAGCAGCGTCGTCCTCTCACTGCCTCAACATCCCACCTCGTCCTGCCTCCTCTTCCCGTCCCTCTCCTCCCGTCTCCTCCCCTCACTCACCAGTGCGTATTTACGCAATACCGAAAACACCATCAACATGCTTTTCACTGTCAGTTGTCCCTCCAGCATCCAGCAAGTGACAACAGCAGACACATCACCAGTTTATTGCTGCTTCTGTGTCGTTCTGTTGTGAGACGAATGCGAAACTGGTGGTTGTTTCAGACTTTCCACCGCTCACCACCAATATCAGGTAAGTCCAGACTCACCTGAGTGGAAGGGGGACTGCCTCCGAAGGTGAGGCTGCTACACACGCTGCTCTGCTGCCCTCGTGTGGAGTGAGAGAACTTCGACGAGCACTTAATACCACAAAACACATGGAACACAATTCAGCTGTAGAGATGGGGATTCCGGCTCTTTTAAGAATACAAAAATAATGAAAAAGTATGTGTAAATTACTACAAAGTACAAAATATACATTGTATCCAATGTTTATTATTTATATGGCTTATTATACTCAGATTGCTACAAAAAATACATTTTAAAGTACAAAAATAAATCCCCATCTCAATTTTACAGAAAGATCCCATCCCTCATTGTATGTAAACATTTATAAAAATTTAACTATTTACAGTGAAACAACATAGAGAAGCTCAGATTGACTAGAGCCTCTTGTCTGTAGCATGGTTAAAAGTACCTCCAAGCTTGAATAATCACACTGGTAAGCTTATGCAGATGTGACCACACTGGTATTAACCCTTATAGTTTATAGATGTGTGTATATTCATATATATATATATATATATTTCCAAATTGTATTTTGGAATAGCAGTGCAATAGTTATGTCATATCAGTAACAGGGGGTGCTGTACTGCACAATGAGTATTTTTACTTTTGACACTACAAATTTAAAAAAGCACAATTTTGCAGAAACCAGTAGTTGAAATGTTTAAACTAGCAGGCTTCGATGTACTGAACATACTATAGCACTGAAGTGAACTCCAATTTTGCACTACAGTAAATCCTACAGGGCAAAAATGGTAATTACTATTATGTAACAGGGTCAGTTTCCTTTTTTGTTCTGTAAATGGCCACAAAGTTTGTTACATGTTTTTTCAAGACACCAACTTTTAAGCTTTAACTACTTGCTAATTACAGTAAAAGGCTACAGCAAGGGAAGATGTTTATAAACACATGTTGCATTCATTCATGAGTCTGTGTTTGAGAACAAGCGCTGAAGCCAAGTCAGTCTGAGGTGGCTCTGAAAATCGTGTGAATTTTGTGTTTTGTGCTGTATATGGACAGCATTTTGTGGTGAAGTAAAAATTTAGCTTTGTACACACGAATAAGTCTCGCATGCTGCGAAAACCTCAGCAGAGTTGCACATTACATCAAAACTTGAATTTTCCATTTATTTTTCTAATGTCATTTATTGGCAGTGTTAAATAAACCTTAGAAGTTTTTTGTTAAACATGTTTGGTGTTTTACACAGTGGCAACCTAAGAATATAAGATTAGATAAGAGTATAGAGAGTTGACTAGATTTGGCCCTCATCCTGATAACATGAAGAAAGTCAGGATAAGATAAATGGGATTCAACACTTACAGATTTCCACATACGCTTGTATCACTGATGGGATCTTGATTGACAGGTTGGTGTGTGTGTGTGAGAGAGAGAGACTAGGTCATGTCTGCTGTAAGTAACCAAGTACATTTATTTGTCTGATTTGAATGTTAAACACATCCAGTGGATTGGAACAGTTGTCTTCTTGCCGTTTCAAAGCAAATATTCTTATCTTCTATACAGCCACATTTATCAGCACCCCCCGTTGATACCTGGGATTATTACAGGTGGAACAGAAGACAAAATGGGACAAAGTGCCATCAGTGAGATGATACTTAGACTTTTAAACTACTTTAAAATAGCCCTATTGTGTTGACAGTGGCTAATTTTTTAGACTCAAATTGTTAATTGCTGGATATTTAATTGTAACAGAGTAGTCCAGAGTAGTAGAGTCTGGTGTTGCTGCTGTTACTGAAGTATAAGAACTTCATACTTTCTTCACCCCTGATGGATCCTAATGAGGTCAAAACTAGCTCGGAGTCTAGAATGGAAAAAATAAATAAATCAAGCAGATTAATTCATCTTAATTTGAAGCAAGTTTATGGCTGGGTTTACAATCACTAATTTATAAATAAATGTAGCATACAGACTGTTGGGCCACACTGCCAGATGTTTACAAAAACTGTGTTTATAAAATAGAATAAATGCTTCATATTTACAGTCTTTCAGAACAGGAACAATTTTCACTTCTGCAAATCAGACGAATGGTTTTAATTGACAATATTAAAGGTCTGATAGTTTTCTTTTAAGCTAGTTGTGTGATCTTAGTGTGGGTTATGAGAATAATACTCAGTTTTCTAATTTTCTAAAACTGAATACTACATTTAGAAAATGACACTGATATTAGATTTTCCTTAGAACTTATCATTAGTACTGCCAAAGTCTTGTAAAAAAAAAAAAAAATTCACATTCTCCTTAAGTGTAAAATTCCAAGGTTAATGTACTCCTATGCCTATACAAGTTTATATCCCATAATAGAACCGACAAAATTTTCAAAGTGCTCAATGGAAAAAGACGTTTCTCCATCCTTCTTCAAGATGCATCAGGGAATGAAATCACTGGAAGTGAAACCTACACCTTGGGCCAGCCAGTGTACTTTGGAGTCAAGGAACTTAACTACACTGGAAGTTCTGAAGATCGGAGGATGTATATTACCAAGTGCTTTGTAACGCACTCCCGTGACCCCAGCGCTTACCCTAAATATGTAGTCATTGACAACCATTGCTGTATGATTGATAGCATGGTGACGGAACAGTCAAGTTTCCTCCCTGGACCCTCAAATACTCAAATATGGCAGTGAAATTCTCTGTGGGGGCACAATGTTTTTACTGCACAATGCTTTACTGAACTTTTTAAAACAAAACAAAAC